CCTCCAACAGTAATTATAGCCTTGATTCAAGGCTAATTAACTCTTCAATTAAAGTATAAAACTGACTTTTTTATTTTATCTGCGGCAAAGCCGCCTAATTTTAAATGCATAGATTTTCCTTAATATGTATAGAAAAATATAAATACATGTATAAGTACTGGCTATCCAGCCCCGTACCGTATTCTTGTTTTGGTGTGGTCACACCATGCCCATCTGGTGTGACACACATCCCTGTTACGAGGGTATGTGTAACCCCGTTACACATCAGATATAGTCCCTATTCTCTGTCAAGCGTAGATGCTTTCCATACATTATTTTGGCAAAATGAAAACTCTCTTCACGCCAGATTTTAAGCGGGATGAACATTCGAATATCACAGAAGCGCGCGTTCATAATAGCCTTTTTGTCGGTGCCGGTGCACTGAGAGTGCGCAAACGACTTAGTCCACTGAGGTGTTGCAGTGCTTCATTAAGATAGATTTGCAACTGTTGTGGGAACAGGCAGTCCGACAGAAAAATTTTACGCTCCCCGCTGTAATGAGCGTCATACTTATTTGCTAGCAGGCCAACCCAAATACTACCCGAAATCTGATCAATCTGCTCAGTTGATATCGCAACAGCAACTTTGGCAAAGGAGTCAGCTGAAGAATTTTCACAGACACCCAGTTTTAAAAATCTGCATGCAGTGAGATTGCCGCATTCTTGTTCAGAGAAAAATTGAATTTAAAAAGTCTGCCTGTATACACCTATGCTTGCTGGCCTTCCCCTTGCACTGAGAGTGAGACGAGCGTTTGAAAGTTGCTTCACACCTTCATTAATCCGCGCAATCTAAAGCTTCGTAGGAGTACCCCCTATGCTTAGAGCAGCAATGGTCTGGTCAATCCGTGCCCTTCTTGAAAAACATACCTTGAGTACTGAATGCTGGCTATAGTACGAAAGATTAATGCATTCATTTCGCGTACCGGGTGAAGGAGTCGAGTCGCCTCACGGGTACCATAGCGTGCAAATGAACGTTCGCGAAGCGGATGCCCGACTTTGAATTCGTCAAAACTTGACTCTCCAAAGTACATGGACATCGAGCTATAAATTCATCATCTTGAGCTCGTGCTATTTCCATTCCGCTCATCTCCACGAATGTTACAGCGAACAACCAAGTTACGAGCTTGCAACAAGGCCATCCAATCTCTTGTGGAAACAGCGCCGCGCCAGATGGTCCTTCCTTTTTTCGAAAGGAGACGTCGATCAAGGATTTGCCAGGCCATAAGCATCAACGCCACCAAGATAATTGGACCAATGCGGGACCGCATACTTTCATTTGAGGGTTCCCCTTTCACTAGATTAGATAATGGTAACAGGTTATGTGAGCCCAACGACCCTGACCGTTCCACGTCGACTAGGGTCATTCCTTGCTAAACAAGGAATGCCGGCCTAGGCCCACCCTTCGAGGCTGGCTTTCGTCAGTGATCTCTCGGTTATAGTGGCTATCGTTTAGTATTTCGGCGTGTGTTCAAACTACATTGGGACAGCTTTCGCATTCATAATGAGCTACGCAATTGCACTGCGTGGTCCGCGACATTTCCAGTGGGACCGAGGGAAGCTCAGCTACAGGGATATTCCATCTCTTTTTGAGCGATTCGCCTTTCATTGCCTCGTAAGAAAAATTGCCATATTATTTCAGCAAGACGACATAGAGTACAAGGTGTATTGAATTATCCTAGAAAGGCTCAAAGTGTAACTAAATATCTTTATCTCTACAACTGTAAACAATTCCAAGTAGCACGGTTGCAACTATACTGTTAAGACCACAGACACCGCCGATTATTTAATTATTATATTCAAGTGTGGTGAGGTTACTTCATACATCGTTTGTTGCCTCTGAACACCCTGACTATCAGCGATAGCAATGCGCACTTGTTCACATGACGATCAGTCACGTTAAGGTAAATATGCAATTTGCTACATGCTGATTTGAGCAATCCAATCCAAATCGGCACACCACTACTGAAGCTACTTCTCGACGACGTCGTTGGTATCCGGGGATTATCAAATTTTATATATCGAATATGAAAAATCTTGTAGAGGCATGCTCATTCATTTAGCGGGAGTAAGTCACTCTAGTACTGTGGTTTCTCTATTTGAGTCCTTTGGAAAATATTTTCAACCACGCTACTAAAGAATCTCGTTCAGCCATTCGTATGCTGAGATTCAGCTTTTGACACGTCCAATCTGGTGCCTAGTATCTTCTAAAAACTTTGTCTAAAATGGATACCGACCGCAGGCAAGCCACGCTGGCGAAAAACTTTGTTGAGGAACAGCTTAGCAGTACCCTCACCAGTTGCAGAACTGCTGGCAGAGTGAGATGAGTCATATTGCTCATTTGGTACACAAAGATCTCAATGCCGCTATTGCCGGATTCGACTTTCTGAAAAGCCAAAGTGTAGTAAATACTTTAGGACTGCCAACATTCTGCCGGATTTGACTCTGGTGTTGACAGATAGCATGACACATATGCACAAATGTAAATGCCCATTTATACAAGACGCATTGTCAATACGAAGCCCTCACTGAGCAGTATATATGTTCTATACTGAAATTGTTACCCAAACGGTGTCACGTGTCTCGTAAATCCTAAATTTGTGGTCCTAGTCATACAGTCCCATCACACATTATGCTCACGTGACTAAGTGCTCTAATACAGCAAGTAACCTAGGCTTAGGAAATAGGATGCCAACGTGCAACCGACTGCGATGCATCTTGGTTCATAAACGCCGTGGCTCTTGAAGTTGTGGCAACGAATCACGCGTTGTATCTGGTTTATATCGGTGCATAAGATGCATCTTCTCCGTCGTGATCTGCGACTGTTAATAGTCAAGGCAATGCGAAGCGCATCCCTCACTATATTAATCCAACCCAAATTGTTTCTACCTCAAAAAATGTTTCGGCACCACGTCACCGTGCGCCAGGATGCATAGTCTGTATAAGCTGCAAGGGTGCGGAACAAAGCACGTGCGCCTTAAACCTAACAACAGCGTTCTACACAGCAAGGTACTTTGTATCATGAACGAAAAAGTTCTTCAAAAAGGCTTACAGCTGACTGGGCTCAAACGAGGCTCCGCATCCTTCGAGTAAAACAGCAACTATAGGCAATATCTGAGGTATCACAGACGACATAAATTGGCTGATAAAAAATCTGAAAAGCTAGAATCGCGGAACACATTGACATTTATTTAGGCTGCCTCTTATCCCGCACCCTAGCATCATCTAACGTCCCTGCTAGGTGGTCGGTGAGGGGTCGTGACTTGTCTGCTAAATTTGCATAGTATTATATCTTCATTTCGTGAAAGTGGAGCCACTTCTTGAAGACCAACTGGTCAATCTAGCTCGCAAACCATACTTTTCAATGAAAGATTCCAAAAATATAATCTTGTCAGCGCTAAATACACCCTTCTCTGTATTGGCTTCTGTGTATTGGCAAACAGCTTACCAAACGGCACAAACTGGGCTGCGACTCCCAAGGGTTTAATGTGGACATTCACATCCAACTTCCCTTACTCAAGTCGACTATAGGCTTGAATTTTGCCGTAATAGGTTTGTGTATAGCCCAAACAACCATATCACAAGGCGGTCAGCTGTCACCGGTTTGTGAGACAGTTCCAAGGCTTCAATCGCCAAATCCGAAACATCTCGGTCAGAAAAATCACCACAATGAGAAAAAATTGCTTTCTTTCATCAGCTATAATTGATATTGATAAGTGTCAACTAGGTCAAGAGCACTAGGCAAAGTGCAACCGTCCATGCTATATCATTTCTAAGATTTGACACTTGTGCCAGATAAGAGATTACATTCAGCTCAAAACCTATAAACAGGAGAATTAACAATTCGCCGCTTGCTTTCAGTTTACAAAAATGTACTTTTAAAGACTTGGCTTAAGCTTGTTTGACACGTAAAATCAGCACCAATAGGGATATATATTTCTCCCACGAAACCAACATTGTTTATCACTCACAGAACAAAAGTCGTCATGACGTTGTATTGAATCAATAGTAGGAATTTTTGTATTGCGACACAGTATTTGGTTCCAGGAACCAGGTCAATCTCATGTTGCTCTCTTTGATTCGAGAACAACACGCGTGCTGAGTCTCTTATAATCACCTTTTGATATTCCTTCAGTAAAACCCAAAACTAATTGTATGATGTTTCGTAGTTGCTGTTACACTCCTCGCACTCAGTGCCCCGCCATGGAATCATCGACGATAAATATCACCTCAGCTCATCGTTGGCTTAGACCTCTGTTTGCGTCAAGTTCATTCTCATTCTCCTTTGAACCCATGTCGAAAATTACTGTGAATTATTCTGTCTAACTTTGTAGCCTGCGGGTGACCCATTTTTCTTTTTACTGGACTGAGAAGCTTTTGTGCTGAGTGAAAGCCCAAATCATAACTAATGAGGTTAGACTTTCAACTTTTAAGACTACCCATTTCAGAGTTCAGTCAAATTACTCACCACTAATCTGTAGGGAGCAATGCTCCACGCGGGGGCTCGTCACACGATAGTGCTGACTCAGCCAAACGAGGATATTTTGAAAAGGACGTATTGTACTTAGCAACCTCAGGGCCTGGCCTTCTACTTGCAACCTGCGTCACCTGTCACCATCTGCGCTATCCAGAGAACCGTGACACTGTTGCGTTTATACGTCCAAATCGGATCTGGAATAGGAGAACCTGACCCACTGTCGTCTCTTCTCTCTCGACTGCTTTGAACGCAGGGGATACAAACTTATAGCGGTTATTAACGGTCCAAGCTGGATACCAGGACATACACCACGAGTACCGCAATAAACGATCCCTATTCTCTGTCTCATGCGCCCCACTGCCGTTTTTATCACCCAAGATTTTCTCAAGACACTCAACATCATCATTTTGGATGCTCCGAGTCTTGCACCAAAACTATTGTAACTTCATGTACACGCCATAGCGCTTCTGGATCCGATTAGAGGTGGATTCAAGACTTGATTTTGTCGTGGTGGACATGTAGCATTTCATATCTTTCTACGAACCACTTTATCCCAAAAATATGATTTTTTCGCGAGTCCAGTGTCAGAATAAGACAACGTCTAAACTGTCCAAGTTCTCAGCTACGTTAATAAGAGCCTTTGATACATTGACTAGTGTCCCCCTGTTGCAAGATTTACGACCATCGTGTCTGTATACCACCTCTGCAATTTTTCCGCAAAAAGTCTGCTTTTTCGACATTCGCGAGTCGCACGTGATTGAACAACGCTTCCGACTCTAACAAAAATTCCCACAGCTTTCTCAAGGACAAAAATTGATACTGACTGCCAACAACTCGGGGTGTTGAGACCTCCCTGTCTTCGAGAGTTTCGTTTTCAAATGCCGAGTTCAATGACCTCGCCCTCCACGAGTTACAAGGAAACCAGATCTTTGCTAGCAGGCCGCCCTGTGCCTACTTAGGCTTGACATTTTCCCTTGAGGGATTTGCCGGACGGCCTTGTGTGCGAACTCGACCGTTCATATTTCTCAACAGAGAGAAAAGGAGGTACAGATATTTGTTACTACCACATATTTAACATCTGCGTATTATTCAGTATGCCTGGTGAACAATGTCATCGTTAACTGCTTGCACGACCTTCAGCCTCTTGAGTACTGCGAAAGCGTGGCTGATGCTGGTATGGACTTGGATACGCTCCCATTTCTACTTTTCTTCAGCCAACAGTTCATGCCCAATGCCTTCAGACCTTACCGGTGACTCATTCGCTTCGTACGCGCTCGCCAGCTGATCAATTTCTTTTGAGTCAAAGCTGCTTACAGACTTGCCAGTCTCGTGATCTGTCGAACGCGATGAAGACAGCGCCAAATTTACTACAGACGAATTATCTATACCGTCGCTTTTTTTTATTTGAGACCACGTTGAATCAAATGCAGTATCGTCAGCAAGAAGCTGCTTCAGTCGGTTCCTTACAATCTCAATCTGTACCGCTCTTTGGATTTTAGCATTCCCCGCAATTCCGAGTCTGATGCTTTCTGTATGATTAAACTTCAATTGACGATACTCACGTCTTGCCATTGGTGTCAACCGCTCCGTGATTAGTCGAATTCGACACTGGACGTTGTCTGAAAGAACGTTTTGCTTTAATCGCAATTCTGCGCTGACTTTTTCGAACTCAGCTAGTGGTATGTTTTGTAAATCATTTTCTTTCTCATCACTTTCGCTAACTCTGTTTAATGCAGCACGTAACTTCGCTTGCATCCTCTTTTGTACTTTCGTGTATTGAATAGCAAGTATCGGATCGACTTTCATCCAAGAAGGTTTCATTGACTTATCGCTGAATAAGGCTGTTTTTTGCGGCGAACTCATCCGGATCAATCTTGAATTCATCAGTCGGGTAATCTTCATCAATTCAACATATTTTCTAGCAAGAAATCCACGTGCGAGAGCTTGCAGTCGCACTAAATTTGGAAATTTATCGCTCAGTTTGTGCTCGAAATCACCGCTTTCTGATGCTAGCAAGCTACTAGTTGCCATATTGATGGAAGCGCTCTTGATTTTCTCGAAACGATCTGAAACAGCTGCATGCATTTCGATCATTTCTTGTATTTGCATGACTGCTGTCGCATCATACGGAATAATCTCAACTTCAACTACATTTTTGAGCTCGTGAATAAGTGTACTGCCAGACAATTCGGCGCCAGTATATTTATGATGAAGTAGCACTCGATGGTAGGTCATAGTAGCAGTAATATCAACTGATTTAGTCCTGCCGGGTGTCTCATTCCCAGTTACGAACTCGTCATTTCCAGACAAAAGTCTTGCAATCGTCACGCGCAAGTCATTTGCTGACATTGAAACTTCTACTTGTACATGCAATCGGTTGACAAAGTGCTCGCGAACATATTCAAATTCATCAACTGTAAGAACTGCTGCTAATGACGCAACTTCTATTGTGATACACCAATTTGATGACTTCGAAATTGCTCGTCGGGCTAAAAACCCTAGCGCCACTTTGCCAATAATATGCGCCGCTTGCTGAAAATCTAGTGGCGAATATACCTGCTCAGATGCCTCTGCTTCAAATGCAACGACAGTGGTCTCTTCTACACTCGAAAACTGTGATGGGAATTCCACAATTTCTTCAGATTTGTCGGGTGACACAACAATCGCATCGAGTTTATGCATTGTGACTTCTGTTTTTGACTCTTGGGGAAGCAACTCATCGTTTTGACTTTGCTTGAATGGTTTCTCGTCAGGTTTTTCGTCGGTTTGTACAACTTTATCTTCAAGATGCGCTACAGCCTTGTCCACATTCAAAGTTTGAGTCTCTACTGTCTCCCCCACTTCGCCGCGATCAAGTCCGAATCGCATAGCATCTAAAGCAGTTAATTCGGTCAACCTCGGTTCTGGACGATACTGCCTCTTCTTGAGTTTGTTGTACTTGGACCACAATTTACTGCTTTCTTGTTTGAGAATGTCGACTTCATGTTGCTTCAACGCTTGAACTTGCAAGAATGTATCCATCATCTTTTCCACCTTATCTGACCATTTCGCTTCCTTTTCTTTAGCAGTGTCTTCTCTTTCATCATCTTCAAGTCGTCCTGCGCATGAGATTCTTTGCCCTTGCAAATCACTATTTGCCTTCATAGTTTCCATTTGAAGACGATTCGTGGCCTCCTGCATGTACAGCCGTAAATCTAGCTTTGTGGCTTCTTGCTTCTTTTCCATCTCGAGTAGCAAAGCTTGCATTTTTTCCATATAAGTTTCGACTCGTGAGTTAATTTGCTGTTGCTGGCTCTCATGTTGTTGGCTTTGTCGAGTTCTAGCATCTTGCTCAGCGCAAAGTTGATCCTGTAAATTTACGAGCTGCTTTGATAATTGATTGTTCTCCTTTAAGGCATCAATCACCTCCTTTGGTAACGGAGTTGGTCTATTTTCTCTCTCTCTTTTCGCTTCTTGAGAGTCACAACTACTACGAGAACCAAACAAGCTTTTCTTTTTTTGATTATTCCTTTTCGTGGTTTGATGCCGTTTCTGCTGATGGCGTAGTAAGTACTCCGCCGAGATAAACCGCTTTTCACACAGCACACAGGATACCGCTGCAGTTATAGATGGAAAGCATGATTAGAACTGAAAGAATATATAGTACTGCCTTACCGCATGCGATCGATCCTCCTTCAGCTAAATTTGAACCACCTTGATTAACCATGAGATCATCATTAAGTGCATTAGCAACCTGTGCCGCATTTTCCTTGTCTGGTATGTTACGACGATTTGAATTTGATGCATTAAGTAGCATTAACTCCAGCGTAGCCATTGTTCGCTGTTTTTGTCGAATCTCACGTTTTAAGGTAGCAATTTCGGTTTCGTGCTGCCCGTTATTGTTTTCAAGCTGTTGACATTCGTTCATGAGTTCTTCACACTGTTTTTCAAGTCCTTTTGAATGACTGACAAGCGAGTCTTGAACGTGCATTAGATATTCTAACGTGAGCTATCCAATCATGATTATCGTCAATAAAAGTCGACAAAGATGATGTATAGTTCGGACATACCTGAGCAATCTGGAATAATTTCAAAAAGTAGGCATCTGAGTAGTGTTGGACGTCATCCAACGTTACATCTGCAAATGCTAGATTCTCCAAATGTCTTTGAATGATTTCAATATCTGTAGTGGCTGTAATTTTCTCCAAATCGAGTCGTGCGATTGCGCGAATGTCCAATTTTCCAGCTCGTTGTCGAAAAGCAAAGTTACGTTTTGGTAGCCAAACTTGTCGTTGAAGGCCGTTAGTGGGACTTCCTGGCATCTTCTCTCTTTCTTGCAAGTGATCAGCGTCATCAACAAAATCGTTTAAGGAGTGAGATATCTTATTCGCCTTACGATTAGCCAAATATTTTGCTCTTTCATGAAATTCTCGCGCTCGACCCTTACGCCACTTTGAAAAGATCTTGACATTTGGCGAATTTATATAATCACGGTGGCTTGAAGGTACACGTGTTTGAAATCCAATTGCTGAGGATGCAGAGACTTGAAGAGAACCAAAACTCCCCTCGTACTCTTCATAACCACGATAAAGGCGTGATTCCTTCCTACGGTAATCACACATTTCAGATTATATGACTCTGAAAAAGATTCGCGCCACTTCAATAAGAATATAGTCTTATTGAGCTCAATATTGATAGATGAACAACTGTTTATTTTGGAACATATTATTGTGGTCGCACATATTACGCTTTTGTGCAACCCAATGGATCACAATGTAAATTTGTGGAGAGAACGTCTGTGTTTAGCCTCACGAAACGCAGTATGTATGAAATTCCAATTGATTAGAAGCGGTATGCGATTACAAGCGACGTTGGCTCCAGTCTAGAAAGGACCATAAAGGAGTCACTTCATAAACGCAGTGACCATTACTGCATCTGGTAGTGGTTTGCTTGCCATATTGGCACGAAGCTCACGAAGCTTCTAATCTTGGTTGTACAATGAGCTGCTAGCTTGAGGGCATGACAAATCCTTTTGCCGTTTCGGCGGAAGGAACATGCCATGTTATCGCCCATTCCATCGCGTGACCATCCAAATGCAACATGGCGAAGGCCGGGAGACGAACTTCTCAACACGGATCTTGTCGTAGTGGTTCCGAGCCAAGCGGTATCAGCATTAGGCGTTCCCAAAATACCGGTACCCAGTAGACACAGAGCATTCAGCTGGTACAATCATGAACTCTAATGAGTGTGGTGGTAGAATCACTCACGAGGATTTAGCTATTGAAGGATCATTGTTCTTCATTAATGACATGAGTGGAGGTGGTTACAGCGAGTGTGAAGGGTTACAGTCCTCAATTTAAAGCCTTTATCGTCTGCGTGATTACTCGCGGAAACAAAGTGTTGCTGAACATGATTCAGTGCTTTCGGGTGCGCTAGATATAAGCAATTGCCTTATCTCAGTGAAGTTAGTCACTGGTGCGGCGATCACCGCAAAGAATATTATAGTTGATCTTCAACTGAATGTTCGAAGACTTCAACCCGAAGAAAGTAACCGCAGTCCTCAAGATATACAAACGGTATGACCTAATTTTAGGCATACCGTGGGTTGAGAAGCACGAGCCATGGATTGATTGGCGATCATAAATGGTCGGGAGGAGATCTCTTGACGTAGATGAAACCCTTGGGAGCAAAGGGTTCAAGTTCACTATGCACCAGAAGAAGCATTCAAGTGCTAGGCAGTCGTATGCTGGTGGAAATTTATCACACTTCATTGATATATGCCATGCAATTAAAATCCCCCAGATTAGAGAAGCTATGGAGTTGTATGGAGTGACTAGGGCTGGACTCTCACAGAGTATGTCGATGGACCAATTGGTGCCCGGAACTGGCCATTTAAAAACGATTGACCATGGCGATTTGCCCAACGGAAAGAATCTGTGACAGAGAGATGATAGATGATGCCCCCATCAAGACGGAAGATGGTTATCGAAAAAGTCGAAGGAATCGATTATATTCATGGAAATACTCCCACTCATACAGTGGTTAAGTCGGATTTTAGGTCAATGGGTATAACCGACCACAAAGGTGATTCTCCCACCCTCTGTATGGTTGAGCACACGGATGTCAAGGAATCAACAGAATTTGTTGATCCTGGTGTTGATACTCCCGCTCTGGATGCAACTGAGTCCGCGAATAAGCTGTTTCAGCGTACTACTCCCCATGATGGAAATGCAGCAGGCAAATATGCTGGTCCACTTATTGTGGATGCAACGACTGGGTGTGAGGTTACAAGAACAGATGTTCTTTTGGGACCGTTGCCGACGATGAAAGAGCTGGTGCAGCTCAGGAAAGTTATTAACGATGACTTCCTACATGTAATGACATTGCAAAGGTCTTCTCACTACGGTCGAAGGTAAACTCAGCGTGACTACGCTCATCATCCGTTATGAATGATTCAGTTCTAGAGGAATTTTGACAGCGTGTGGAGTATCGGCTATTTTGAAGGAACCAATTGATCACTATTATTCACTTTTATGGAATATCGGGGTTGCCGTCTTTAGTGCGAAGCTTTCTTCTAGTCCCACCTAAACTTGGAGGTCGACACGACATATTGGCCGTGAACCTGATTCAAATCTTGGAGTGCTTCAACTGAAATGGGGTTACACGTACTCTGGTCAAAGGGGTGTGTGACACACGAGTTGTGCATGATGAGACTGCACCCAAACAACAAAAAAGTATGTGGCTAGTTAGCCAGTAGTTATGCATGAAAATAGATTTTACTATATATATTTAGTATATTTAGGAAAATCTAAACTTTTAAAATTAGAATAAAAAACAAATTAAAGTCAGTTTTGGATTTAAACCGAAGAATCAACTAGCCTTGGGTTAAGGCGATAATTACTCTTGGAGCAAGCAGATTGCGATCCGCTAACTCATACTTGGTTCTTGTAAAGAACGAAGGTCGGTGACCTAAAGTACACTTCCTCAAGCGCAAAGCTCCGGCAGCCCCGCTGCACTTGGTACCACTTGTAGTCGATCTACACCTGAGTCGTGTAGACTGATCCTCTGTGGGGATGGAGGAATTTTCCTCTTTGCCCCAGGGCATGCAGGACGGGCTTAACAAGCTGAT